TCTAACCTGTTTAGTTTATTAGAAAGGTGTTGTCTTTCCAGGTTGTATTTCGGGCAGTCACACAGTATATGTCGAATTGTTTCTTCATTTCCGCAGTGTGCACAGTCGGCGGTGTCGGCCATACCTATGTGGAACGCGTACGCACGGGTAAACGCGACTCCCAAACGTAGTCGCGTCTGAAAATCGCGTCTGAGACAGACGTAGTGACGTCTGTCTGAAAATTTTCATTGTTGTTTGCCGCTAATCTGCTGGCTTCATAATATTCAGTAAAACAGTGGAACAGCTTGGACTAGCGGGATTTGCCATATTTTGGTGGCACAGAGCCGTTCGTGATGATGTTTTTTTTTTTGGTCATGACAGACGTTTTACTCCTCACTAAATAGCTTCATTGTTAAATGAAAAAAAAACATAATAAAAATTGAATATCACTTGTCCTATCAAAAAAGAGAGCTAGCGAGAGAGATACCTTTCGTCTGCAAACTTTACGTCCCACTACAACTTTTATTCTGTCTTTCTGTCCTTTTTTATGTTTCTTTCTCTCTCGTCCTTTCTGTCGTTTTTTTTCTCACTTTGTTTTTATTTTCAGCCCGCGATGACTCATCCTCGATTTTGAGAGGGTATAAACTTGACCTCGTCGGTATCGCTTATACGGAAAAATTTCGAGGCCACACGGGACTATGAAGAGAAGGACTATAAGTGCAAGATACTACTGTTTTTCTAGTGCCATGTGTGCGCAATAATTTTTGCGATGAATGCTTCTGTTTGCCTGCTTGATTGCGAGAATGTGACCGTCATCCACGTGATTAGTAACGAAGCAATTTACTTCAGTCACTACCAGCAACAACGGCTGTTTTATAGACGATGTCAATGCATCAATGAAATGTGAGAACGCAAAATGACAATGCAGCTCAATAACATCAATCTCTTTATGAATTGAAATATGAATCTGTCTGCTTACACACTTCTGTCACCACTGAAAACCAAGCAATGCGTCTTTCGGTGATGCAGTGTCAATAAAGGTGATCGATACATGGAGTTTAACGCCCCAAAACCACCATTTGATTATAAAAGAAGCTGTACGGGAGGACTCCTGAGAGTTGAACCACTTGGAATTCTTTAGAGTGCACCCAAATCTGAGCACACGGGCTTACAGCATGTCCGCCTTTATCAAACCAATATATATGTGCACTAACATCTAATATATATGTGCACCCAGAGTTTCAAAATATTATCAAGGAGCTTTACGAGCCAAAACCACTGTACTGTTACAAATAAATATAGAGGCTGCCAATATAAAACGTATTTATTTAGGATGAATCTGCGCCCGTGAACGCGGTAACTGGATTGTCGGCAAGAATATGTCTTGCTAACTAACCCAAACTTCATGGGTCTATTCTTCCTCATACATAGAGTTTCATGACAGTCTTGTGGTGTGGCGTGGTGGCGCGTCCAAAGCGGCCTTACATGGTGTGCTTTGCTTGCCGCTTCTGTGGTAGGTTTTACAAGAGCAGTATGCTGCCGTATCCTCTGCGAATGCCGAACAACGGGAGGCAATGTTAGTAAGAGACATGCGGTTGGGGAAGTCATGGGCGAAATAATCGTTTCTTTTTTTTCCAAGGACAGTGTTCCGAGGGTTCCAACTGAGGTTTACTCTAGGTGGGTCGACCCTTTCTTCTTTAGGAATCCTCTTGCCGCTATAGCACACTAGGTCATGGTGATGAGCCGTCGTTAGTCGTTCATGGCCCTGTGGTGATTCAGGCCTCACACATCTTGGCGACCAGGGTGACGTCCACGCGTGAAGCGAGCTTGCTAGTATCGTCTTCCTGGTGCCACGAGTCCCCGAGTAGAAGGAGTGCCACGTCGTATGGTACATCGCAGATTGGGTAGTTGCGCTCATAAGGCGTCGGGTAGAGGTGATGTGAGGCGATGGAATGGGTGGGCGTATGTGTCTGAAGCCTGCGGAATGTCTTTATTGAGCTTGTGATGACTAAGGCAGTGGTCGTCGTCCTAGGTGGTAGTGCTGGAAAACAGCGTTATACGTCATTGGTACGGTGCAGCGCTGCATGAGTTCCGAAAGACGACGGTTCTTGCGAGCCGATAAGTTGACATGACCGCAGCCAGTGGCAAGAGTCCCCTTAGCTCCCTCAAGCCCCTCATGTCGTGGGACCGTCATCACGTAAAGGTGTAAAGGAGCGGAGTGCGTCTGTTTTTCAGAAGCTTGATTTCTTCAAGCCTGATTTCACCTCTCAGGTGGTTGCGCCCCATGTATTACAATTCCGTGAAAACAAGAAGTTTCCTCTGTGTCTGGGGCTGCAAAAATTTTGACGACAATTTCGTTTCTTTAAGGGGCAGCTAAAGCTACAGTATCTTTCGAAGAACGTAATATTTTTTCACAAGTATTCGATTGTTCATGTAGAGGCTATGCTGGACCACATCGTCCCATCGCCTCATGTTTCATCTGGTTCGCCATGACTTAGGCATCTGGTTGGTACTCTACACAAGAACCAACGAAGGCACATTTTTTTTGTGATTACACTTCGCATGCAAGACTACAAGATGTAACTTCAACGTCACCCACAGTAAACCGAAAAAAAAAAACATAGGGCACAGGTATTGCTACCTCAGACCCTCGCTCCAACTTACCAATGATATCGAGCGCTAAGAGCTTCTGTCTGAAGCTAAGTGCGAAGTTCATGCTACAGTTTAACATATCGGCAATATGTGTGCTAATTCGGTTATGCACAGTTTAATTTTATAGGCGAGTGTCTGGTGCGAATCGTATGCATTCGTAGTGCTAATCACGCAGCGTAAAAAAATATAGAACCTATGTTTAAATATTTCTCGTTCCTAATTCGTGATACCAGTGCGCAATATCGAAGGAGGACCGTAATATAAATACTTCTCTATACTTCTTCTGTTCTGATTGCTTACCATCGCGATACCACCCATGCCATTCGAGCAGTCAGCCCTAATCATCGCAACAAATATTATCTATAGTCCTTTTTCGATAAACGCGGGTTTAGCGTGCAAGTACTGAACTTTTACTCCTCAATATCAATGGTAAAAAACACCATCTACGTCTTTACTCACTGAACAATGTGTTGAACACCATTAAACGCAAGAGTTTTGTACGTCAGCTCCCAGCGTATCACCTGCCATGATTGGCCGTCGCAGGAGAACACAATACTGCATAACAGAATACAATGAACGTGCAAAGGCCGCAGTTCTTACATTTTTGTTTTTTTTTTGTAGTTTGTAAGCTTCGCATTTACCACGCATCTTTCTGAATCCCTTGACAAAAAAAAAAAATAGTACGCCAAAGTGTAATTCTTGGCTAACCTTTAGCAAATGTCTTCTTTTCTGAGAAATTAAAAGTCAGTATGCCACAGTTTGCCAAACCTGAAGTTTCAGCGGAGGTTCTCTGCTTCGCGCCCGTCTTTTTTGTATCACATAGCTCGTGAGTCTTCCAGAATACAATTTTGTATTTTCCAAGTGCGACGCTCATCCTACACGGAGAAATTGCAAACGCAGCAACATTGACTTGATGAACGAGTTATTTTTTAAATAATGATGGTGAATATAACTGTAGTAGTTTAATATCCTAAAAGCCCGATGTATTTATAATTGAGGCATTGAAGTAAAGTGATCCGGAAATTCGTACAAAAAATTTTTCTCGTGTGCCTGAGTGCGCTGACCTGAAGCATTTTCTCGTTAATCAAAAATATGCGTCCTTCGATGATTATAAACTCCAAAGTTGACGTGAGGGCTGCTCCGCATTTATATACTTTTTCCTTCATGCAAATGCTGTTGCCAATGGGATCACACCGGGTATAAACACTACAATACACTTTACAAAAAAAAGAACAATGATTCGAAAGAACAATAAATAAAGCTTCGTAAAGCAGCATAAAGTGTTCCCTGTCTTTGCAAGTCAGCTTCTCGACATGTATTACTTAAAAACAACTTCATTAAAAAAAACAACTACAACCATTTAGACTCTATGCGTGGACGAGAGATTGGATGATATAGATGTTTCTGTAGACTAGTGTATACGTGCCACATAATAAGAAAAATCTCGTTCTGGCGCACTCGATGCTATCTGGTTGTATGCGAGGGTCTACCGTTCAGCTTCCACCTTGTAAAAAGATGACATGCGACGTGATGCCGACAGGCAAGAAAGAGCGTCTGACATTCGACGTAAGGGCAACAGACATCAGTGACTGACCCCCCCCCCCCCTTCCCGTTTAAAGGCAAATACATAGCCTAGAACGCGGACAAGCGGATACCTGCCCCCGTAACTGAGGGGTAGAGCATCGAACGCGTTGTTCAAAGGTCGCAGGTTCAGTTCGTGCCAGTAGCAAGTTACTTTCACGCCCATTTTGTTTTCTTCGCGTTTACGTTCGAATTACTTCTAATAACATCCTCCATACTTTTCTTGGCATCATTGTCTGTTATTTAGCAGTAATATTGGTTCTTACAAAGAAAGCAAGCCCTGCCATTTACACTTCTTGCTTAATAATTATTTTTAAGGAAGACCTTTTAGAAAACATTTTATGAGTAATCACAGTCGTAAGGAGGCTGAGCGATGGGCGTGATTTTTTTTTTCCTTCTTGATTTTGAACTAAATGTTACCCGGACACCGTTTGCAGGTGGCCACTTCTTGACGTGTTGAGAGGCGGATCACTCTTTCATCATTAGGTTGAACCCTAACTCTCTGAAGTGAAGTGAAGGGAAAATATGATATCATCGTGACATTTTGCTTGTAATCTATATCAAACGTTGAGTACGGTAGCTCATCGCCGTGGCATTTGAAGACATTCACCTGGATCGCTTCATGTTACCGCAAGTTGGCACCTTGGCCTTAAACGACTCCAGATTCGGTAGGTCATGGCAGCGTTCTTCAAGAACTAGGACGAAGCGGACGCGCTCGATGAGAGACAAAGGCGTCTGCGCTTTCGAAATTGTTTATTTGAACGTGACTGATTTGCCCTTGCTGTCAATGCGGGCTGCCATAAGCTGTAACGTAATCAACAAGCACAGCAGTACATTTTAATCCAGATGCACTGATGACGAGGTGAACTTTTCGGTGGGCGTCAGAATCAGTGATATATCTTCAGCGAGCAAGCCCCGATTCCTCGAAACACCGTCAATGGACACCTGTGTATAAGCAATGCAGATTAATCAGCGGACTTTCATGAATGCACGGGAAATGTTTGTCGCCGTTATAGCCCTGCAATTCGCGCTTTCTTGGTGCGCAAGTAAGTGGTTAACAGAACAGAATTTTCGCGAAAGTGGAGGTGTAAGCGCAGAACTACGGGTCGGGCACAAGTGTAACACCACTAAACGCGTTGACTCTATTTTCATTTTCGTTGTTCTGCGTGAGTGTCTGACCTTTACAATATGTGCAACTATGAAATTCGCTGAATAAGTTGCGCAAGGAGTGATAATTGGTCGCGATTTTTTGAAAATCGTTTGAGAAACAATATATTTTTACCGAATACACATTCATGCATAACATATTTGGAAGGACTATTAATTTTATTTTTATCCGCTTAGCCTGACCGCCCTGAGTGGGCCTAGCCAGGTGACGTCGAGTTAACTCGTGCCTATTGTTGACCAAGTGAAGTTCTTTCACTCACTCACTCACTGCTTCATGCAAGTATTGTGAGAAAGTATGTACAAAATAGTTTAGGAGCATAAATAAAATTAAGTGCTCTTCGCTAAAGCGATTTCAATATAACGAGAACTGATGCAGGCCTAATAAACGAAACTAAATCTCCAACTGTGGCTAACCCAATAGGGCTGCGAGAAGAATGACATCGGTGTTCCTTCTGCTGGTAATTCCAACTGTGCAAAGTACTGCATGAATTCGCTCGTTTTCACCCACTGGTCGTACAGAACATCCATGTATCTGTCTTTCAAGAAAACAGCTGGACGGTGTATTTATTCTTCATTCTCGCTTTGGCTAATCATCACGCCATTACATACTGAAAACGTGGAAGAGCCATAGAGGGATGCATTCCATTTAATTTTACAGTGCGAGGAGCTTCGTGAAAAGTAAATGACTGATAATTACAATACCGCTATAGCTGAAAGCACCGGAGCCGGAAAAGATCCTGGAGGCGCAAAGCTTCCACCAAGGCAGCCATCTTACAGTGGTAGGTAGACAAAGCATTTGAACTAGCTCACTCCTGTTTACAGAGAAAGCATGAGAACGGTAGCCCGTGTTTTGTTGAGCGGAGGAAATTGCACTTTCGCCACACGTAGATGTCTTGGACGTGTACAACAGGAACTTTGGAAATGTTCGTTTCCCACGATACCTAGTATCACTGGTTTGAATCTCACTAGCTTTTTTTGTGGTCTTGCCGATCAGCTGCAAAAGGCGCATTGCTGCCAGTCACTGCATGAGTTGTGAAGTTTTCGCAGAACGTCGTTGCCGAGGGCCCTGATCACTGAATCTTCCCTTTGTGTTCTAGCGTCATATAGCGTCGAGTGGCAGTTCACTTCCGCGTAGCGTCGCTCATGTTCTTTAACGCTTTATGTAACGACCTGCGGTATTTTCGTAAATGACAAAACGCCCAAAAGAATGGGACGCACCAAACCACCGATACGCATCGCGCAAGTGTGTGATCAAAATTTTTGGGGGTCAGCGATTCCGAGATGTGCTCAATACGACACGTCGGCGTCAGAAGCTTTCTGCTACAGTGATTTTACTAGACATCCTTGAACATATTCTGTATTGAAATAATCCCCGAAACCTGCACTAAGCTATGCATGCTTGTAACAACAAATATAGACCATTCTGAAGACTGTGAGAGATTGGCGCGTCTGACATGGCTAGCAACATCCACCCACGATTCCGGCCCGAGCATTGCCTACGGTACGCCCTACACACGCACCTCATTGTTTTATATTATTCTATGTCAGGTTCCTTCAGCGGTCTTCCTATAAGACTAACCTCGATGCTTCTACGTTGCTTTAGGCAGGCGAGACGGGTTGTTTCTGGGTTGCTTCGAGGTAGTTGGCATGTTTTGCTAGGTCATATTTTGGGTTATTTATACATTCTCAGCGCGGGCACGTTCGAGTTAAACCACAGACATGACACCAACGACCACACTGCACACACAGATACTCGCGCTGAAGCCGAGCGTTCGCCCCTCTCGTAGGTCTGCAAGCACTCCGTTGTTGATGACGTCACGCAGTCATGCCGTCAAGATGACGTTAGGTTTGTCATCACTCCGGATCTTCTAGCCACCATTGCTCTTTTCGGACATGGGCGTACTCGGCCTCTTCGGCTTGCCGGCGTCGCTTGGCAGACATTTGTTGAGCTAGCTGCAGCCTTAATCATGTTTAGTGGGCCCATAGCAATTAGTTCGTGAAATTTGACCAATTTTTGTGGCAAAAACTTTGATATGGTGATACTGTTCTGATAGCCCTCAGGATTCGATGCTTCTATAATACTACCGAGCGGGAACAAGGACGACATAGACACAAAAGGTAACCTCCAGGTTCCAGCAATTTTCAATCGTCATGAAGGACAAAATAATAGAACTAAACTGTGCACATGAACATTTCTAGACAATACCAAAACTTCTCCAAAAGGAATTTCATTGATGTGTCTGTGTCACCCACAAAAACGTGGTTTTAGCTCCAACAGGTAGTCAAATTATTTTTTAGGCAATGCAATGAATGAAGTGCTAACGCATGTGTGTCATCCTACAAGTGTGCCTTGAGGACTCTACTATATTTCTTTCTTTTTGTTGAAATCCGACGTGCATCTCAGAAAGCGTAAAGCGCTGGGATACAACCTTCGCACTTTTTGCTATGCACCGCGAATGAACCTCCCCAATCTCCCCTTGCTAAGCTCCCTGAGCCATTCATTGACATATCTGCCCATCTGGTTCATACTAAATTACCCGCAGGCAAGTGAAATGCAATACACGACTCCTGTTTTGCAAGCTGTAAACTCGGATTGCTGTTTGTTATACCAATATGGCTTCTCAATTCCGTCACTATAAAATTGGAGCCGTATATAGCTGGAGGTAGGCCTTTGTGGCAAAGCACTTAGTAAGATAGCTGCTTTTGTGGGGACGTCACCATGTAGAAGATGTCGGCCTGTTGTTTTTTCTATGTTGGATACAATAATAATGAAATCTAACAGACTATCATGCCAAAGACTATTAAGCATAACAGTCTGTTAGTTCTCATCTGTAGCGCATACACATCTTCTCTTGGAGGATGTACGTATGTTTGGGCATCACTCAGAAGTAAACGCCATTCCTCACTGTACTCTATCTTGTCGAGAAGTACCATAGTGTTACCCTTGTCTGCAGGAAGTATCAGCAGTGATCTGGTTCGTACGCACGTAGCCTCTTGACATTATCACGTTCTCGCAATGACAAGCAGGCACTGTGGATTTTGTGCGCAGCTTTGACATGGCGTTTACAACATATTTTAAGCCTCATAATGGTAAGACTAACCAGCCAAAGAACATGCTCTGCTGGACCCAGATTGAAGTTGACACCGACGATTCAGAACTGCCACCTCGTAGTTGTCTGGCTGGATCGAGGACTGGTTGTACGCCACCTCTTTTCGAGAACCTGGTAACTGTGCTGCAAAGCGTTGCTCCAATCTTTGCAGTTTTCGTCCTCTGTGCGGACTGCCCCTACGTCGGCGTGGGGATAACCAGCAGCTTCAATACAAGACTCTAAAAGCACATGAACGGCGTCCACAAAAACACGCTGGGTCCAATATCTTGGCCGAGCTCTGCACAACTGTGTCACACGCTATCAATCGGAAAAAAAAAAGCCCGTATATCTGCCAGGAAGAAAAATCAAGCTGCATGCCTTTATCTCGAGTCTTTGTTCAATCAGATTAGGCCGGCACACTCTTAATGGCAACGACGATAACCTCCCAGGTGCTTTATTGACGTCACGTGCCTCATTTAATAAAGACGAGCAGCTATGCCAATGTTTTATTGTGAACATGATTCTCTTGGGTGAGCTGAAACGCTAACATTCTTAAACCATGTTCCCCCGTCCGTACGTAAAGGGACACGTATTTTACGCCCCACCCCATGTATGGCGTCAGTGAAACACCCTTCCCCACATGTCTTGTCCCTCACCAGTTTTTTTTATTCATATATGTATTTTCAGCTAAGCTCTGCGTTTTCCTGCCTTCATCTCCTCGAAATCCACAAGTTGATTAGGCCAGTGAGTGCCTGTACAAAGATAATTTCGCGGTTTCGCCAAAAAGACACGTAGGAGTGTATTTAGACAACATAGACCTGTAATGCGAGGAATATCACTACTTCCATGTGTTGAAATGTTTCATGCGCCAGCCGATCAATGAACGCGACGAGCTTTTCTCTGCAAATACGACCCACTTCCTCGATTACCAATATGTCGTTCTCGTTCTTTAGCAATTTGTCGTTTTCGTTCTGGTCAGAAACAGAAAAAGAGGTCATCGCATATCCAAGCGTGTTGGAAGAGAGGACGGCCGGGGAAAGCATGGTCCTTAAGATTACAGAAGACATAACACTGAATCTTGAAAGAAGTTTCGTACTGGCTGATGAGCTACTCTTTGTTACGAGCGGTAAGGAAGAACACCGTGTGGAAAAAGTAAGTTCACGTTGATTATATTTCATAAATAAGCATGCCAAGCAAGTTATTCCAGTGATAAAGCTCGCAATGACGCAGCGTCGTTAAAGACTAGAAAGAAAGGGTAAGAAAATTATGCGTTGCAGGTGGACACGTCTTCCATTCAGAAGGATCTGTACCACGACACGCATCGGCAGGCTTCCGTGATGGTACGCAGTATTGATGGAGCAGTCCAAGTCGTAAGTCCTTCCTTCCTATGCCAATTTAAGGCTTGAAACTTATCACTCAACGTTGTCAAACAGTTGCCTTCTCTATTTCTAAATAAACCGCATGTGAAAGTATCATCGAATCAAGAGCCTATTCTCATGATCGAAACTACCTATAAATGTAGAGATGAATAAAATCAATAGGTTCTGAATGTTTTTCAGCCATTCATCTGAATCGATGACAGAAGTGATTTAACAAGACGTTTTATCATACTGAAAACTCCTCCTGGGCGGTATATAATTTATTTTTTAAAGTAACGCTGCTGAGGGTCGGTAAGAATAGCTGTGACGAAAGTACGGAATAATGTGTAAGACAGTCTGTCAGGTGGACACACATTTTAGCAGTATTTTATTGAACAACATTTCAAGTATGCTGGAGAGAAGTGTAAGTTTAATGTTTTTTTTTGTTTTACACAATATAATAATAATGACACGCAGACAATTACGCCAAGGAAAGTATAGCATGTGGTATTACTAGTAATTGTAATGTAAATGTCAGAAAAATGGTCGGAACGATATCTTCCCACCGGCCGGGACCGAGTCTGCGGCATTTGAATAACGCGTCCGGTGTTCTACCAAATGAGCCACGGTGGCGGTCGTATCTTTACCCACCTCATAGGGTACGTATACACATTTAAACGAGCGAATAGTCAGCGCCATCTCCCTCCGTTACTTCGTAATGGCTATGACTGATATTAATAGTAAGATCCCCTACACTTTCTTTGACATTATTGTCTGTTATTTTTTATTATTATTGCGCCACCGGCAGTATGTTGTGGCATGCAACCGTTTGTGTGACATGAAGCTTTGCAAAAAAAAAAGTATCGTGTAATCTACTTCATTGTGCCCTCTCAAGTAACCATTCCCTGGGCGGCGTCCAAATCTACATTTCGGTTAGAAATGTTTTCTTGTTGTAGATGAGCATCGCCTCCTTAGAATTTTGTTCAGATTTTCACAAACTTTTTTTTATATCCCAGATGCTTTTGAAAAATTTTTTGAGATATTTTCCGCCAACTGATTCCGTCAACTTGTTTCCTTTTCTAGGAAGGTATCCTTGACAGCGTGTTGAGAATCAAGCCCTTACTACAGGCACCACGTTCTCTTGATGGACAAATACCACACAAAGTATACGAAGTTGAGGAGAAGTTAGACTCGAGAGCAATGCGTAAGAGCTCGTCACTTCAGTTTTATACAAGTTGCACCAGACCCATTCTAGTTTGAGACTAAAAAAAAAACTTATGTGGCCTGGCGGTAGAATACCTGCATACCACGCATAGAGTCTCGGTACAATGACTCGTACGCAAAAGTTTTTTTTATTATTATTTCTTGGTGTTCCTGGATTTCTTGAGTCACAGACAAGATTTTTCGCCCACAACCAATGACGCTGATGCCAGCACCCATGCTGACGGCAAATTTATTGAAAGGAGTTCCTTAACTCTATCGCGCTAAATTCTAGTTGAATTTTTGCACCTTATCTGTTCATACTCTTCCTCACCGAGTCCCTGCTTTCATTGCGCATAACTTGAAGATTGCTGATTGTTTCACATAAGAAGAACTCTTAGTTTGCATATAAATTCAAAACCTTTTTTTTAGGTATGGCCTATGGACCATCGCGAAAAAGGGGACAATGGAACCGACAGAGGAGTAAGAAATAATTCTTTATTTATTGTGTTGAAATTCAGCATTTCACAGTCACAAATTCATGTAACCAAGATGTTTAAACTATTACGTTTTTAAAGCACTTGAATATAGTGGCACAATATGTGTTGGTTTTAAATTAGTTACTTAACAACATTTGACCCACCGTGGCGACGGCAAATCCCCATGAGGGCAGGCATATCGTAAAGCAAATATGAACCATTTTATTCGTCAAACTGCTTCGTACCATCAATGCATTCGTTAGTCCATTAGATAGCATGGAGTCAATGGAACACTTCACACGTTTGAAGAACGTGGCTAGCAGAAAATCTGGAAACAAACTTTCAGCAATGAATGCGCACAGCCAGCAAAAAAATCTTATTCTAGTAATTCATTTGTTGCGTAGCTTTTAACTTGAAAATTTCGCAAGACTTCTCAAAGTAACGTAATGAAAAAACATGTGCTTGAAATTATTTGTCATTTAGTGAACTTCGCAGTATCTAAGAAAGGAACATTGATGAAGCCCCACTAAAACTTGCAGTATCATCATGAGTACTCACACTTATACGTTGCAGACTACAAACAAGCCGGAGAATTCCGCATAAATCATTGCAGACTCCTCTGTAACTCCTACCACGCCCGTACTTTGCTAACTATGCACCTTGCGAACACGAAAGCATTGTTGTATTCACCAAGACTCCAGTGACGCATTTCCGTCATAAAAATGACGTCGTCAAAAAAATGTACACTATTAAATGTCAATGAAAAAAAAACTTGTTTCCGACCAGCGACCACTCGATCTGCATCTTAGGATACCGGGCATATATCGACTGCATAACAGCTCACACAAACGAGGCTTTTGAACGAGTTTTTTGTATACTTCACTTTCCTCTAACATGGCTAATTCTCAGCGTGGTGGTGCCTCCCTCAGAAAGCGATGCCCCGCAGCGGTGGTCTATTGGCTAAGGTACTCGGCTGCTGACCCACAGGTCGCGGGTTCGAATCCCGGCTGCGGCAGCTGCATTTCCGATGGAGGCGGAAGTGTTGTAGGCCTTTGTGTTCAGATTTGGGTGCACGTTAAAGAACCCCTGGTGGTCGAAATTTCCGGAGCCCTCCACTACGGAGTCTCTCATAATCATATCGTGGTTTTAGGACGTTGAACTCCACATATCATTCAATCAATCAGGAAGCGATAAAGAGGAGCAAGTCATCATTGCTGTCGCCACCTCGCTTACTTCCTGTGACGCGTCGTTCATACTCATAGTACAATCCTATAGTATTCGGCGTGTTTTCAAGAAAAGTGAAATTTCGTCAAGGCCTTGACGTACCGTGAGGTGCTGACCTTAGCCCTAACGTCCCGTCGTCCTTTGCAAACAGTACCCATTCATACCAAAAATAGCCCTGCGCCGCGCGCCTGCCTTGTCTGGGCACAGCCTCGCTGCAACTCCAGTTCCCCGCTTACGCTCGCCCCAAGAAAGAACGCACCTGTGGTACAGCGGAGACAAGGTTGATGATTGATTGATATGTGGTGTTTAATGTCCCAAAACCACCATATGATTATGAGAGACGCCGTAGTGGAGGGCTGTGGAAATTTCGACCACCTGGGGTTCTTTAACGTGCACCCAAATCTGAGCAGACTGGCCTGCAACATCTCCTCCTCCATCTGAACTGCAGCCGCCGCAGCCGGGATTCGCTCCCGCGACCTGCGAGACAGCAGCCTAGTACCTTAGCCACTAGACCACCATGGGACAAGGTGCCCTTCCGTTTCTATGTAGTCTGACCGAGGTGCTCAGTCACTCGTTAACATGACGCGTAATGACGACCTTCCCTGAAGTGCCTGAACTGCTGCGCCAAATTCGCGATGCTCTTCTGGCTGTGACACCACCTGTTCTGGTTACGCTCTCCCCGCAAACTAGTACAGCTATCACAAAGGTTCGTTTACTTACCGATCATACACGTCAGTCTTCGGTATGAAGATGTGCCAGCAAGCGTCAATGTGGGTGCATACGCGGTTAACGGTGCAGCAGGTGCAAAACGCCCATCGGCATTTAGCATATCTCAAATCAAGCTATACAGTAATCATTCATTCACTTCTGTAAGAACGCATGTGATACTTATTGGTTTGGCAAATAAATAACGATGATTTCCTATAGATTTTGCTAGAAAGCTGAATTTTGAGAAGTATATTTTGCCATAAAACGAATGAAAATATTTGATAAAAGGAAAAAAAAAGCAAGTATACCCATGCAAATGTTACAATGGGGTGCGTGACAAATGGCTCAATGATAATAACGTAAATGCATAAAAAGTGTTCATATATTGCAAATTAGTGATTTTAGGAAACATCATGTCATTACAGAAAAAAATAACATCATATTCGTGCTAGGCCAAGGTTCAGGGGAAGATATTAGCTTGATAATATGAAAAAAATAGAATAAGTATAATGTCATTGGAGTCAAAGTTTCGGCAAGCTCTCTTTCGGCAAGTTCTGGTGAGCTTTGTAAAAGCAGCAACTATATACTGCCTTGGCCAAAGATTTCCTTGTGGAAACTTCAGCTCTAGTGGCACCCCCTCTCCGAAAGTATTTTATAGCTTCGTACATGTGTATTTTGTTGTTTTTGCATATAGAACTACATTATTACTTGATCGACTTCGATATCAATGATCAGGCTAGCTTGGTCTACGTGCTAAAGACGCATGTCTGAAATTTCACTATAATTTCATTTTTTTTAGAAAACTAGCTTGGACTTCGGTTGAATTAGACGCAACGTTTCGTACATTTTAATATATTTGCTCTGTATTATTTTCTTGTGGGGGAACATACATCCACGAAGATCCCCAGAACAAAAAGCACAATTTTGTAGTGGGCATGAATGCTGACGCTTCTTAGCTTAACAAGCTGCTACAAAGACCAAAACTGAGAGCAACGCAGTACATTTGGGACTCTCTTTCTTGTACATTCAGAAAACAATACCCGGAGACATGAGGCTACGAACCAAGGGAACTCGGACGTTTTTGTTGTGGAAGTGCACATAATTTCGGACATGAAGCACCAGCGTAGCTTCAAGAAAAACGAGGAACTGATTGCCTACATGGCAGTCACGACCAACGCTGTGAGTTGAATGTATCAGAATCAATCACTTGTGCTTTAGTGGGTGGGAGAGAAAACTACTCTCCCGCACATTTCGTTTCCCGCAGCGTATCATGCGCAGTGGACCAGCGTGCGGCCGTTCTTCAGGCAAAGCCTCTGCTCGATCGACCGTAGTTTCAACCGCGTTCAACAGGTGGCGCAGAAATACCACCGGCCGTCTCCGTTGAAGATATCAGAGCGTTCGTTCGGCAGTCATTCTTCCTTTTGTCTTGCACTCCGCTCGCCCCTCCGTTTCTCCGCTGGACCGTTTGGCTGCTCAGCTATTGCTCTAATGTTCTACGGGTCATTCAGAAGGTTATATCACCCTGCTGCTGTCACGTTACCCACTCTCAATGTTAATCGTGATTGTATCGTGATTTCTTTGTTTCGCCATACGCCCTTGTCGGCTCAAAGTCACAGCCATGCATTGCTGCATCAATCAGTGTCGTCTGGAGGCAACGACCATCTCAAAAAGCATTGAGGACTCAGAGAAGGTCTGCAGCATTGTAAAGCAGTAAATGTTCAGAGCGGCACTGCACTTGTTCCAGCAAAGCTCGCCATTCCACACATTTTCTTCCTGCACGCGCGCTTTACCAACGAATGTTCTTGCGGTACCATTTGTGCATGAGTGGTTCGATTAAATTTGTGCCTCGTCTGCATCCACTCGGGCGAACAAGACGTCGAGTTGAAATGAGTGCTCCTGGGATTTCATCTTTTCGAGAATTGCCATACTTCTATTCAAACCTTTATCTGTAGCACACTGTGTGAATATTTGCTTGCGTTAGGAAGGCATTTTACCATAATTAAAGTATATATGCTAACGCGCTTTCAGCTGTTTCAGAAACGTGGTTGAGCGTGCTTCACTAATGACATATTTCTAATATATGGCAAATGCGACGATTGATGAACATGTTACGATCTCTACACTCTGTTTTAGGTCAACTTAAGATATCTCGACATGCAAAGACCTAAGATCAGCTTCATCCTAGTTGGAATAACACGGAGCAAAGTGAGTACATTCCAAGTAATTTTAATGCATTTAAAGCTTGTGATTTCGAATTCTTGACTTACGCCACCAAACTACTCCACTTGATTAGAAACGAGGTTACTGTAGCGAACAGGGAGTTTGATTGATATGTGGGGTTTAACGTCCCAAAACCACTATGTGATTATGAGAGACGCCGTAGTCGAGGGCTCCGGAAATTTAGACCACCTGGGGTTCTTTAACGTGCACCCAAATCTGAGCACACGGGCCTACAACATTTCCGCCTCCATCGGAAATGCAGCCGCCGCAGCCGGGATTAGAACCCGCGCCCTGCGGGTCAGCAGCCGAGTACCTTAGCCACTAGACCACCACGGCAGGGCACGATCAGGGAGTTTAATCATCCCAGGATTTCTTTTACACACAGAAGTGAACAGTACAGCTTCAGGCGTATTGACCAGCCAACTGCAGAGCATCAGCTGGTTGACTGTTGTTCATAACAGAAGGCGCGCCACCCGTGCTTGCGTGATAAGAGCAATTATGAAGTTAGCAACAATCGGATCACGGATCAGTCACAGACATAAAGCTAATAACAAATACCTGATGGAACAAACGGGGGTTAAGGATATCATAGCTGAAATCAAGAAGAGGAAATGGACATGGGCCGGGCATGTAGCGCGTAGACAGGATAACCGCTGGTCATTAATGGGTAACTGACTGGATTCCCATTGATTGATTTGTAGGGTTTAACGTCCCAAAACCACCATTTGATTATGAGAGACGCCGTAGTGGAGGGCTCCGGAAATTTTGACCACCTGGGGTTCTTTAACGTGCACCCAAATCTGAGTACACGGGCCTACAACATTTCCGCCTCCATCGAAAATGCAGCCGCCGCAGCCGGGAATCGAACCCGCAACCTGCGGGTCAGCAGCCGAGTACCTTAGCCACTAGACCACCGCGGCGGGGCTGACTGGATTCCCAGAGAAGGCAAGCGGGTTAGGGGGAGACAGAAGGTTAGGTGGGCAGATGAGATTAAGAAGTTTGCGGGTATAAATTGGCAGCAGCGAGCACAGGACCGGGTTAACTGGTGGTACATGGGAGAGGCCTTTGTCCCGCAGTGGACGTAGTCAGGCTGATGATGATGATGGTGGTGGTGGTGATGATGATGATGAGGATGTGTAAACAGTTGCACAAGCTGGAAATAGCAAGTAATCCCACAAACGTCACACCTTTGACATCGAAGGAAATGGTTATAGAATACATGCAATAACCTAAAGTGCGTTAGGTAGAACTAAAAAAAAAATTAGCAGCATAATACTGAGTTCCGTCTGCACGATGGAGATTCGTACTATATAAACCATAGAAAGAAATAGTGCTAGTGTGTAAGAAGCTCCTTTATGTGGTGCTTAAAACGAGATAAGAAGAATACTGCAGGTGTCGGATCTTGCTCGTAATATGCTACGGTCCCGAGACTAGCACCGTTTGTTTACAAAGCTTTAAACAAAATGTATGAAATTAGTTCCTGTTAAATTTGCTGTATTCTTCCGCGTGTAAAATTATTGCGTACTGCCTTCCTGAAAGTATCTTTAAAGTGAAGCATAAACAGATTCAACCGAGAGGCCATGCATTGTTAGGTCATTGTGCCTTTTCATTACGAACTTATTAGTTTTTGAACGCAGCGGAAACAAACATACGTATTCTTTCCTCTGTAGCATGCACCATCTATTTATAAAAATTATGATGCCGGATAGAGTGAAAGTGGTCGTTAATTACTCAAGCGATAAGTGTGCCATCTACCCCAACGCCTGTGCAGGTATGCCTTTGCCCAAAGCGATCGCGTGATACGTGCAGCCGTCATTTCAGTGAAAGAGAATATGAGAGAGCGTGGCAAACAGTCTTTTACCCCACGTGGCTTGGCGCATTGATCAAATGTGAATCTCAGGGGCAAGAATGGTATCATTCCGTTTTTAGCCTACACCCCTTCTTGCTATTCTTCTTCCTTTTTTTTGCACTATGTCGTCATTTTATCTGATATTCATGCAAACGCTGGATAGAAAACAATGCTTCTTCACTGATATATCTCCAGCAAAAGATAGATATGAAAGAAAGCGTCAAATTAACACAATAATATTCGTGAAGAGAGTGCCGACAGCAAACAGATAGACCTTTTTTTGTTGTATTTTCACTTTTCGCCATTGGGCCACGATAGTTTTGCTGTGCAAGGCCATGTGCTGTGCGCCCACGTGTTACCGTCTTTAAAGATGGTGGCTGCACAACATGTCTACCAATGCACTGCGATGCCGCTTCGCAGATACGTGATGGTGCGTTGATATCGCTTTGCAGCCAAGCTGACAGATTCTCGACAAGACGCGCTAGTCAAAAGCATGAATTCCATTTCGTTCTCTGCACTGCTTCTTGAAGCGGCATTTGTACGAAGCGGGATGTGAGCGACGCTTTCGTAAGCTGTCAAACATGGCCAACAAAGTCACAACAATACTGCACGAGTGACTTTAAAACAAATACCAGAAAACTATGTGCATTGCGGCAAGCGGAGAGGGGAAAATTCCGCCATATCCACGAAGTGAATGATGATGAGTGGGCGAAGCTCTGCAGGTAAACCTGGTAAACCATGAATCCTCTGTACATTTTGCCCACTCGATTTTATTACATCGCTCCCCCTAGCGTACGTCGCCGCACTAAATCGAACGATTGCCTTCAACCAATGACACGCGCCATATGTGACATCATTCCTATTTTATAAGATCTCGCGTCTTTCATCAACTACAAGTACCGCTTTCTAGTTTATAACATCTTGCATCTTTTCATCATCAGCTACAAGTACCACCATCTAGTAAACACTACAAGAACTAAACGAGAGGTGGCTACATACAGGAGACGGTACCGCCATCTAGTGAACACTGCAAGAACTAAACTAGAGGTGGCTACATACAGGGGACGGTACCGCCATCTAGTGAACACTGCAAGAACTAAACTAGAGGTGGCTACATACAGGCTACAGGGGACGCACAGCCCACGCCCTAAGGAGCTTCGCCCCTAAAAAACCGTACCTATAGAGATAAGTGATGTAAACAGTTTCTGAACCAGTACTAGCCTGTTCGGAAACCTGTGCATCACGACATTTATAATCTCGTCGAACAATCACCGCAACAAATTATTCTCTAGCTTATACTGACGTATGTTTGGACAGACCATCATGAGGCACCTTAATGGCATGTAACTTATAGTAAGTACCCAAGGCGATGAGAAATTATTCAATAGGGGTGTGCTATGTGGCCATATTGAAGTTTTGGCTTGGACATCTTCATATTCTAACTAGGTATGCACATCGAATATTACATGTACCTTCCTTACCTTATTGGGAATGGCGCACCTTCCCCCCGAAAATTTCGCACGACTCAAGCTGTGAGTAGCATAGGCTACAAAAGACACAAAGATTCACTCTCTTATAGCACAAACTCTAAAGGCATTGTCCCAATACATGACGTCCCCATCTTTAACACAGGATGATGCTTTCGCAACTAAACACCAAGGCATGTTGGATGCGCCGGCGACGTTGGGTGGGCTCGAAAAATATATCGACAATGGAAGAGTCCCTGGAAGCAACGACATCGTGATGCTTGTAACAGGGTGAGCGCAATGCGTCCAGTTGTTTAAGTGACTGATCACGTTAGCATCTTTATTTGTAATACAAGATGATTATACTCGGCGACAGATTTTCTTGACAGCACTGTGGAAGCCACAGAACTAAAGCAAATGTGTGCTATCACGCCAAAAAAAGATAGCACTTGGCCTTGGTGAAGAAATTACTGCTTTATTTGTGACTTCACCGATACAGTTGTGGAAAGTTGTAGGCAAATACAATAAAATTTTAATGTTAATATGTCGGGTTTAACGTCCTGAAACCACGGTAATATATACATGCTCATAATAGGACTCTAAAATCCATACTGAAGCATCGAAATAATCCTTCTATCAACATTTTTGTTCATATAATTTAGGAACACGTCAACGATATGAGCGTTGAATGGTTGGATGAATGGGTGGATAGATGGATAGAATGATGAACTTTATTAGGTCCTTCAGTTCACCACAGCGTAACTCGAGGCACATCCATAGCACGTGTTCCAAGTCAGCTATATCATAGAAAAAGTAATGTGTCTTTTAGCTGTAGGGATAAGTCTCGTGCAATAACGCGGGGTTAGGGTACGCCCCGACTTGAAAAAGGCTGAGTGTCAGAGCCTGAGGTCTGCTTAGTTATTTGTGCGGTGCAGGGTTTCGTCTTCACGCCAGGTAAAAGTGTTTTGTCATGTGAGCTAACTAAACAGAAACCAGCCGGTAACTGACGTACAACTTTTGAAGCTACACGAATGTGCTGAAGCCCCGTCTCTGTAGCCTTCACTCCAATGTGAAATGATAAGTTCTCGTTAAGTATAGGTGTGGCGGACAATTGGAAGGCTTATTGCTGCTGAACGCAACGGGTGTAGGGTTAACAGTTGGTTCATAACTAGCTGTGGTGTTTAGCTGCCTACACCATATTACACTGCATCGCGATATTTATTGCAGTGTAATCAGATTGTCATTACTGTGATTTGGCCGAGTTTGATTATATTCACCTTGAGGTACTTGCGCAGGCACACAGATACAAAGACACACACGAACGGGCGCAATCTCACCACTAGTTTTTTAAACGTGAAATTAATAACCCTCAGATCTGTGCAATCTGGTCAAGAAGCATTTTAACGGCGCACACGGCACAACTTATGATCGCATGCTTAATGAACAACAGACAAGAGCGAAATTTCCTTCTCAAGCAAAGAGAACCTATGAGTTGCAAACACACTTTTCCTTCAGCTTGTCAGTGTAATAAGCTTCCATTATCTTTCTTGAAGTTCGCTGTCCGGTGCCTGTATTCAAAGGTATTTGTAGCGTTCCTAAAACAAGGCGAACATGCGCATTCATTGCAATGCAGTGCTAAATGTGCAGTAAAGAACCTTTCAGAGTCGACATGCGCTCCCTTAGGCACGTTCAATACATCTGCCAGTCTGCCCCACATACACGTGCCAGACTTCAGAGGCGTATTATAACCTACTTTATTTACACATTTGAACCAACTGGAGCTTGTGTTTAATGTCACGTTCTTTCTGTACATTGCTGTGTTTGTCACATTACTGGTTAACCAACGGACACACTCCTCCCATTTCGTTTCCGGCCCAAAAACGTTTAAAAAAATAAACCAGTTGTTAGATTTCACCCACTTTCATACGCGAGCAGGCGCGAATACCTCAAAATGGACAGATTGTTACTTAATCAGGCTCATGATATGACAAAGTAAGTTATAGTATATGAATAGCATTGCAGTTCACACTGGTAGTTTAAAAAAAAATGTGATCTTCAATAGTGCCACCGGAATTTTGATCAGGTGATAAAAATAACTTTGAAGGCTCAAGATGCAAGTTTAACCGTTGGAAAACTTCACTAAAAACATCTTCTGCGCATTGTAACTTATTTTTAGTGCACACTGACCCACGGACAAAGCGAGGGAACAACGCCAGCGCTTACTATCAACTGAAGGTTTTATTCAGAAAAGGAACACACACACACAAACACACACGCATATATATATATATATATATATATATATATATATATATATATATATATATATATATATATATATATATATATATATATATATATATATATATATATATATATATATCAATGCTGTCACCCACTTCCCATGCGCACCACCTTAATTTCAAATCCACGGTTATTGTGCCATATCTGATGTGCTCAGTATCTGCTCCAGAAGCGACACTTCTTTTTGTTTTGCGTTCGGCCTTCATTATCTAAAGCTCTCTCTGCATGCAAGTTTGACACTTTTTCAGGTTGGACATGTTCAACAGACCAAACGGAAAAATTAACAACGGTCTGGCCGGTATGTACAACGCATATTATATTACATAGTTCAAGACCGCTTACTTTGTATATTCCTGACCTCGCCAATAAGCTACCAAAGATTGCCTAATTATTCGTAGCGACCTATTGATTGATTGATTTGTGGGATTTAAAGTCCCAAAACCACCTTATGGTTATGAGAGACGCCGTAGTGGAGGGCTCCGGAAATTTCGACCACCAGGGGTTTTTAACCTGCACCCAAATCTGAGCGCACGGGCCTACAACACCTCCGCCTCCATCGGAAATGCAGCCGCCGCAGCCGGGATTCGATCCTGCGACCTGTGGGTTAGCAGCCGAGTACTTTGGCCGCTAGACCACCGCGGCGGCGCATTCGTAGCAACCTACATGACTGGGAACGGTAGAACATTTGTTTGTGCACCTGGCAAAAAGCTAAATGTACCAGGAAATTTGTAATCTACAAAAAAGTTCCACTTCTGTTGCTATCACGTTCATTGCTTCGAATTTGCAGCAATGAACGAGATAGCAACAAATTTGAAGGTCACGCGCAAAATGGAAAGCAAATAAAAACATGCCCCATGTTTCTGACGCACAAATGACGCACGAAGCGTGCTCACAGGTACACATGAACGCGAACAAGCGTCTCAGTTGTTACTTCGCTGTATCCGAAAAGCGTGCCCCTTTCGCGAACGGATACTGTGCAACAGTTGCAGTGACCTTTGTGTGCCCGGTAACTCCGATAGAATTGTTACGGTGAAAGTTCAAGACCGCTTACTTTGTATATTCTTGACCTCGCCAATAGTCCACTAATGGTTGCCTAATTATTCGTAGCAACCTAGATTACTGGGAATGGTAGAACATTGGTTAGTACACCTGACGAAACGCTAAAAGTAATGGGAAATTTGTAATCTACAAATAAGTCTTACCTCTGTTGCTATCGCGTTCATTGCTTCGCATTTGCGGCAACGAACGCGATAGCAACAAATTGAAAGGTCACGCGCAGAACGGAAAGCAGATGGAAACGCGGCCCATGTTTCTGACGCGAAAATGACACACGAAACGTACTCACAGGTACACATGAACGCGAACCAGCGTCTCAGTTGTTATTTCGCTGAATCTGAAAAGCGCACCCGTTTCGCGAACGGAGACTGTGCAACGAGTGCAGTGACCTTTGTGCGCCCGGTGACTTCGGTAGAATTGTTACGGTGAAAGCTCAAGGCCAGTGAAGGCGTACGATTGTCTCCGCCGCGAGATAAAGAAACGCACGCATGAGCGTCCACGCTGCCCCTTCTCAGCGTGGCAAAGTACGCGTGAGAGATAAGAGCGCGCACCACCGCGTCGTGATGATGTGGCGACGCGAGCTCATAGCGCTATCTTGCTGGTAATGCTAAAAACACGATAGCCATCCCCCCATCCTCTCCTGAGATGCCCATCATTAGCGCTAAGTGGTAGATGGTGTGGATTTGCATTCATATCATGTCACTTGGTCTAATCACCTCGAAGCGGTCCAAAACACAGTGACCCGGTTCACCCTATCATCTTATTATTGATTTCAAAGCGTCCCGAAACTAAAAGCACTCTTAATAGGCATTCACTCACCTTGCGTTGAACACTCGCCCTGTTATCCTTCTTTCACACTCTCTACCATCGCACCACGTCATTTTCGCGATATCATGTTATACCCGCACACCACATCTTGTCTAGATTAGACCACGCCTATAAAGTCAAGCCATATTTTCAGAACACTGAAAAATATCGTAATTCACCTCTTGCACGAGCAATAGATCAATGGAATTGACTGCCATCTAGCATTGCCACTATCATCGATCATCAGTCTTTTCAATTAGCGCTCCACTCGTTTCTCGAGTGTGATAACACTTTTCAATAGATCACTTCATTGTATTTTACACTGATTTTTTATTGTATTCATTTGTGGAATGTTAATGTTCATTTGTGAAATGTTATTGTTTCTGCGTTATCTTTCTAGTTTTCCTTTTCAATTGTTGTATACCTTAAATGTTACTGTATTTCATTCCTCATAACCCCCCCCCCCCGCACACACACACACACACACAATATGTAATGCCCTGTGGGCCCTTAGGGTATCCAAATAAATACATATAAATAGCTTGCCGTTTGAACGTCAAAGGAGATGCTCCTTCGTGGCTCCGTTGCGAGCGTCTTGCACTCACAATTCAGAAGTCCGACGTTTTATTCTGCAAGCCGGAGTCTTTTTCTTGCTTATTTTCCCTTCTTGCGTTTTCATATATATATATATATATATATATATATATATATATATATATATATATATATATATATATATATATATATATATATATATATATAGGTACGTATACATACACAGTGTACATTTACATATACCTATACATATACAACGGTGCCACCGGCACCGACGTCGCCAGCGGCAATATTTAGCGTAGAGTGTCCATGCAATTGCTAACGCAGAAAAATGCGTTTTGTAATGTTGCATAACATGGAGCAGCGTTGCATTCGAGTGATACTCTCTTAAGGGCCCTAAATTTCCGAAGCCCTCCACTACGGCGTCTCTCATAATCATATAGTGGTTTTGGGACGTTAAACCCCACATATCAATCAATCAATCAATCTCTTAAGGGCCTATTGTGAACACTTCACTCGGCAAGAGGAAAGAACTCTGTTTTATAATTTTATTGCAATTGGTTCTCTACCATCAGTCAACTTTGTAAATGTTAGTGCAGTAACAACATGTGCGGAAACCTTCGAAGTATTGCTGTGGTGTAGTATAACATAATTATGGAGCCAGAAAAAAAGTAGTGTTGGTGTGATAAACAAAATCTCGAGATTTTTTTAATGAACTTGCAGTCTGCAACTTAACGTTTCGTATAGAGTTCACCACTAATTCATCACCTTGCTGTGTTATCTTTGTTGAGAACCAGGTTTTCTGAGTGATGAATAGAGACCGGAACTTGAGGTACGAAAAAAAAGATGTCTTAGGTGCCCATAATAGGCGCTGAAAAGTGCTATTTAGGCATAAACAGGCGTTAAAACTGTCGTTTAGGCGTCATCATCATATTATTGATAAACTTGAGCATATCCAGAATTGCACAGTCATGTTGATCACTGATAATTTCACCTATGAGAGCAGCATTTCATTAATTAGAGACAACCTTGGTTGAAAAAACCCTAGCGATCAACACGACCTAACCATTAAGTTAGAACTTGTTTTCCAAATTCACTCGAATCTCACAGGAGTGAATAAATACTTGTACATCCCCCATCCCTGACTTCATCTCTACAGGTTGGGATTATGAGTGTAGGGTATTGGCAATTCGCTGCGTCAAGAGCTTGTTTCAATGTTGCTATTTTTCCCCTCACACCTGCGTGCACTAGAACAGACTTCCAAAGGGTATACACTTATTTGTAAAGAATTATCCCAATTTCAATCATTTTTACCTTTTTATCTACCGTGAAATATTAATTGCCTTCCTCCTTGCTTTGCTTTTGCCGACAACTTTTATTTTGTTTCTTTTCTTCATGAAACGGTGCCTGCATTGAAAATGATTTGTTCGTTCGTATGTGTTGCCAATTTCTCTGGCAGTGACCACCGCTTTGTAATTAGCTCGTATTTTCATGTTTGTATGGGAATTTGCATGTATTTTGATATTGTATCTGCTTGTTTCGGAATCACCCTCTGCAATAATGCTCTCGTGGTGCAGTGGGTACTTGTATAAATAAAAAAATATATAAAGCTTTCCACCCCTTATAAACGGCTCAGCAACAATTATTTCTCGTATTCGGAATACCGCGTCAACTAATTGCGCATTACAGCCTCATATTGGGCACCTCCCTTTCCACAATACGAATAATTGCTTAGTGGGTGCTTGCGTATGTGAGGAAAATTACGAGGACTTAGCAAACTGTGGTTGTTGTAGTTTCCCCCAAGAGTGTTATGGGGACACTAAAGAAAAATATTTTCTTCCGGAATCGGTAAAATACCCTTTCACAGTTCAAAAATTACCGCACTCGCTACAAAAAGACACTTCGTAAGCGAGAAAACGCACGAAACCTAAAGGTGAGCGCAACCTCGAAATTCCTGCACCAACAGCCGTGACGTCATAAATTTTGACGTCGTTGACTAAGGCCTACGCAGCTCGTGAAAATGAGGCACAGTGTCTGCTGATAAGGCCAGAGGCTTAACCTATCGTATTTCAGGAAACATAGTCGACTCACTGTCGGCAAAATACAAACTCTTCGCGGGCGGTGTATTCGTCAGCCTTTTTCTCGTGTCCCGTGCTTTCGTTGGATTTCATCAAATAACGTCGCGTCAGGTGCGATAATTTTGACACGAAATATACACATGCTACTTGGCTTTTTTTTCATTATTTCATAACTATGATGTTACAATTAACGACATTGGAGTTCTCAGAGAACATTTTAGTAATTTAAACCAGTTCATCGTTTGGCTTCAGTGTATCTTTAATATAATGGACGAGGTAACAATGGTGACTCCAAGTGTCACCGGCGCGGATGTCTTACATATATCGTAAGTCGACTGCGTGACCATTTTGACTTTGCAGTGGATAACATCTAAACATCATGCAACATTACCATGTTCTGTGTTCTTAAAAGATGGTATTGATTGTAAGGACCCACTCGTTAGCATTGCTGAACTAAACTTCATTTTCAGGTCTTGCATTCTGTGGCACTGTTTGCCAAAAGTTGAAGATTGGCGAGAGCGAGGACATCGCAACTACTTACAACGGAGTCACTGCAATCGCCCACGAGTTGTGTCACGTGTAAGTGAATCTGTCTTGTGCCTACCTACCTTGCTGGCGCGTCCGTGGCTTGGAGTGGCGTTCTCAAGTGGCTATTCATTTCTTATTCGAATGCCTGACAGCCCGTCATGACTGCATCACAAGCGGCTCTGAGGGCATTGCTGCTGTTCCTGCCAGCAAACGCACTTAGAGACGAACTGTGACTGTTTGCGGACAATGTTGCTTTTTAGTGCTCGGATAGTGTTCCAGTCACTACACTTTTTAACAAGAAAGCGTGTTTTATGCCGGGGAGGGGTTCAACACGGCTCTGCTGGCGTATTTCCGTCACGGATATGACGTAAAATCTATCGTAACATATTGCAAAAACAGCGAGAAGACAAATCCGCTCACATCTTCCCACGGGGGTACTCGAGTGAATGTGTCGAATACTGTATAGGGGGGCGGGGAGGGCATCGCATGAATGTTGCATAATTGGGATGATTTGGAAATGTTTAATTATTATTTTATCTTTAATATTCCCATTTATTGAATGAAAGAGAAGCGTTGCCTTGAACGAGTGGTGGGACGCTGATGTTAGGTTGTGCCCCACTACTGGTTAAAGGTACTGTTGCTTCTGTCACATGTACTCGAGTCAAGCAAAGCGTCAAGCCAAGTGAAAGCCAAGACACCGTTGACTGAATTGCAAACGCGAAGTCAGTGCCTACGTATACGGGGTGGCCAGTGAACGGTGGTGCAGCGCCAGCAGTCGGTTTTTATTAGCAGACGCTGCCTGCGTCGGCCTTGCGACGTGAGAGAGGGGAGGGGAGAGCGATCGTTGGCCCGAGACCCGAGAATGCGAGACGAAAGGTGAGACGCGAGCATGCGCAGTGGGAGTGTAGATGATCCCACCGGCACCAGATTAGTAGATTATAGACGGTTTCTAGACTGCAAGCGTTATATCCCTAAAAGCTTCCGGCCCCCTTATTTACCAGTTCCTAACGTCGAACTGAAAGCGCGTTTTCAAGTTTTTTTCAAGGATAAAAAAAAGTCTCTTTAGTTTTTCAGTTAAACGCAACGTGCATAATGTTGAAAAGACTTCTTTTTTACTTTTTAGCTGAAGAAAACAATTATATAAATATTTTTTGTGAGACATTTTCCGCCTTTGTAGAACAGTTCAATTCACGCTGTCTGAAAATTAATGAATCAGGACATGAACAACGCCACCACATTTCAGATTTATTTATTGTGCGACATTTAAGACGCTATCCACTGTTTCAAAACAGGCCTTCGATGAGGCAGCCCTTCTCAGTTCGCCTGAAGGGTCTAGCTGAAGAAACTGGTGTGTCACTTGAACACAGTTTAATGGCTCCTGTAGCATACCCGCCACCGTGGCAGTGGCAGACTATAGACTGCGATGTGTCTTTCCTAGAAGTTACAAAACATGCACCTATTGCCCATATCCGAACATACTTCCTGGAACTTCAACACAAATACACACGTCCTGAGTTACTTACAGATGCCTCCAAGTCTAACTCCTCTGTGTCCTACGCTGCTGTCGGCCCATCCTTTTCGGATGCTGGCCCTCTACATCCAGGCACAAGTATCTTCACAGCGGAAGCTTATGCGATACTTGTGGCAGCTAAACACATCAAACAATTACAAATACAAAAATCAGTAATTTATACAGACTCCCTCAGTGTGGTAACGGCTCTGCACAGTCTTAAAAAACAAAAAAAAAACCCTGTCCTCGTCTCACTTTACTCCATTTTATGCACACTCGACACACTCAACCAACATGTTGTAGTGTTCTGGGTGCCAGGGCACCATGAGATTCAAGGCAACGTGATGGCGGATCAGCTTGCTGCATCCGTCCCCGAAATCAGTGCCACTACACCCATATCGATCCTGCCCCTTGATCTTAAGCCGTCTCTCAAACGAAAGCTCAGGGACTACTGGCAGAGAAAGTGGGATAGACACACACAAAACAAGCTACACGTTATTAAGCCACACCTTGGCCATTGGCCATCAGTATCAAAATCACGTCTAACAGAGGTAACACTGACAAGACTCAGGATAGGACACACATACACGACACACACACATCTTTTGTCCGGTGGCGATCCACCATTGTGTGACAAATGTGGTGAGGCATTAACAGTTCTTCACGTTTTAATCCAATGTAATCCGTTTAATAACGTTTAATCCAATGTGTGAATTCAAACTGGAAAGGTGCGTAAGTTGTCACACGCAAGGGTTTGTTGTTGAGATAAGTATACGACAACGAACGCCATTGGGCACGCGCGACAACGTAGCCACGAAAAAAACGTGGAGAAAACGGGATGCCAAGTGAGTGCATTCGATCCACTGGCCAGGTAGACTGGCAATGATGATGATATGTAGGGTTTAACGTCCCAAAACCACCATATGATTATGAGAGACACCGTAGTGGAGGGCTCCGGAAATTTCGACCACCTGGGGTTCTTTAACGTGCACCCAAATCTGAGCACACAAACCTGCAACATTTCCGCCTTCAACGGAAATGCAGCCGCCACAGCCGGGAATCGAACCCGCGACCTACGTGTCAGCAGCCGAGTACCTTAGCCACTAGACCACCACGGCGGGGCAGGTAGACTGGAAACAAAAATTTACTATAGAAACCAACGCACTCTCCATGTATCGCTAACTGTGGCAAGCATATCATTTTCAAAGCTTGGCGGCGCTGACCTCTAATTAGGTGTTCCGAGGCCACACGTCGGAACATTCGAGTTGAAGGTGCTGACGGCTACATACAGAGGTAAAAAACAGAATGGTTACATATTGACTAGAATTTCGAACGAGTCCCAAGCACTGGCAACGCTCAGCTGAGCCACGCCGGTCCTTGAGACTTGTGCGCCAACTTGCCTTGGGCAGTGCTAATGTCGGGAAAGGAATCGCACTAATACGCGTAATATAGCGTTCTAGAACAGCAATTAACAACTAGGCGTTACACAATGCGAATCGTGCCACGAGTGTGTCGTGCAATACACCAACACATTCAATAATCTCGTTCTTCATCACCTATTAACTGTGGCACATACCCTCTTTTGGCGTAACTCTTCATTGTCTTCAGCCACTGTTACCATGGTGAATGTCGGCTACAGACATTATGATTATTTATGGCGTAGCGGGTACCCAACAAGTGTGCTTGTAGCATTTACCCAAAGCGGGTTTAGAAAAGGCTCTTAAAGGCGGCTTTTCGTGCTTTTGTTGTGACTGTGCTCGCGTTCTGCTCAGGCCAGGCGTTTCTTTGTTATCAGTAGCTAGATAACACGACGGGCTTGCGCCGTCACCTCCAAAGAGCGCAGCTTTCACGGAGCATGGTCTCTCCCGCGTGCGCGCTTATCGGACCGGTGATTCGAGAGAAGGCGAAGGTCGCTTCGCTCGCTGCAGTGACCGCGGACACGAAAGGAGTGCGTTGCTTACGCAAGAAGTAGAAATTGTGACCGCTGTTCGCGCTTGTCCTTGTGCGCTCGTTTCATGTTTTTTTTTTGTTTCTTTTTGAACAATGATGATTACCTTTTTTTTTTCATCATGGGAGGTCCCACCTGCGGTTCTTACCTTGGGACCTCCCAGTGAATCTGTACCCATGCACTTTTTCATGTTCACGCTTGATGAATAAAATTCAATTCAAATTCAACGCGCTCTAAGTGTCGAGCTGTGACAGCTGTTTTTTCCGCGATCGTCCTCTCTATGCTCAATTAGTGCATGCTTTCTGCTTGAGGCTTGCGCAGCAAATTTCGACCTGCTTACCAGTCTTCACGTGGCTTTGATATTTGTTGCTGTTGTGAAACAATCCACAATAAATGTTCAGCTACCTCTGCGAAGACACGTTTCGCTCTAGTGCTGTACCGATTCTTGTATAGGAGGATCAGCCACGTTTTCCCCTACTGTCACAAACTCTTTTTTATTTACCCTTTCTTTCTTTCGCGCGCCTTTTTCCGGCCCCAAGAACAGTGTAGCAAAGCAGAGTGCTTTCTTGGTTAACCTCTTTTCTTTCTTATATCTTTCACTCTCCCTCTCTCTCTCTGTCTGGCTTGTACCAAAATGCGAGTCAGGATCAAACTCACACTAAGAAGTCGACTATTTTCCAAACAGGATGGGGTCACCACACGATGAAACCCCTGAGTGCCCCTGGGAAGAAGGATACCTGATGAGCTACGTTGACGGAGGACTCAAGAAGTATCGCCTCTCTCCTTGCAGTGAGAAGTCCATGCGCAATGTCTATCAGTAAGTGGTACTTCTCTCGGAGCGTTATAGGATTTACAACATCCTTGATGCTCAAGAAAACAAAAAATGAAGCGTATAGAAACTATAATTAAGATTTTCGATAGCGCTATCAAGCACCTCAATATGTAACCAATAAATAATCAGCTAAGCCCAATAATAATAATTTGTACGTCCATTCAGTATGAGTACAGCTTGTCCTTTGGCACTTGATTGAAGTATAGTTGTGTTTAGCATTTCACAGCGCCTCTTGCGCATGATCATTTGTACGATCGGCTTGATCAGCATAGCAGATGGAACGACTTTAATGGTGTAAATGAAAGCAAAGAGGGATCTGGAGCGGTGGACAGTGAGAAACAATATTATGAAGAATAGAACGTGGGTAAGCGGAAGGTAAGAGCACCGGTAACGTGAAGATAAAAGCGGTGGAGGATGGAACATATACGTAGACTTTATATATATATATATATATATATATATATATATATATATATATATATATATATATATATATATATATATATGAAAGTATATGCGCTTTCACATAACAACTGTTTATTGTGCCGACGTTTCGACGGGAACCCCGTCTTTTTCAAGGGGTTCCCGTATATATATATATATATATATATATATATATATATATATATATATATATATATATATGGCATTCGTGATTATTGCACACTGCAGTGTGCCAGGCTTGTTACATACCAACTTAGGCAAGCAAAAGCGAGAATAAAACGAAGACAAACAAAAGGAAGATATGCCCCTAGTGTCGTCGGTTCTCCTGGAAATGCCTCGCTTTAATTATGTATATTTGAAACGCTTACATCGAGTGCTTTGTATAAGACATATGTTTAGAATTTATCTGGCTTGAAATATTCTGCAGCAATGAAATTGGACCATCACGATTCCTTGGGCCGATAAGGACAGTACACGCACTATAATTTCTCGTTTGATAAAAGTAACCAAAAATACTCAGTGACGAGGTTAATTATGCAGCAGATTAGACGTCCTATACGTTTGAAATCCATGTTCACCTAACAAAAGCACATCGAAATCTTTGTGTAATTGACTTCCTAACAATAATGAAACGCACTGCATCCAAAACTCTATTGTTTACCTTAATGACGGCCTTCTTCCACTTGCAGTGTGATCACTTTGTTCACAATGCAGTCTTCGGAGTCGCGTACAAAGCAACTTTACCAAGACCTTGAACTCCGCCAATTATAATGCTCAATCTCAATAATGTAGTCAATAAAAAGAGCAGACCAGCGGGCCATGTCGGAAGCTCACGAACGAAAAATCTTACTTAAAAAACAATGCTTCTTTCTGTGTTCTGCTGCGACTCAGCGAATAAGTATTTTGCCTGCGTTCAAGCCAGAGCTCTTTTTGAAAACAAACAAACAGCTTCGAGCAAGCTGGCACACACTTTTTTCGATTACTTTTCTGAGGTAAAAAGAGACCACGTGACATATACGCGAGAGAACCATCAACAAAACGCGACTGGTTGGTGTTGCTGGATGAATTAAACTGTTGAGCTTTCTCCGTGAAGGCTAAGGCGTGTTCCTACAAAATAGTGTAAGGTGCCAGTTCTGGCTCCCCGTGATTCCTCTCAGAATGCAGGAGTAAGCGTGTGATTATTCATATCGCAGGAAACTTAAGCCGGAGTGTATACAGGTGCAGGCGAAGGTGAACTTGATGAAAGATCACCAGCAATACCCAGGCCAAACAGTGCGGGCGATGTACTACTGCAAGAAGGTCTTGAAGCAGTCTGGAGGAAGATGGTTTGTCCAGCACTGTGAGTTGTAAATTCACACACCTTGTTTTTTTTTTTTTGGAATGTACAGATGGATCCCCTGTTAAAGGGAAAACCTGCGTGTATAGCATGCGTAAGCGCTTTGCTACTCGGACGCACATGTAATGCAAGTAGCCCTACCCTCTCATGTGGTGTCCCACCACGACCGCTTTCTGAACTGAGTTGGACAGACAGATCCCTGTTGAAGAGCGCGCGTTTACACTAGTATTGAATGAACTAAAGGAAGCTTTGTGTGGGGCATCAGACAGTTTAAGTTTCACGTTGTTGAAACCCGGGTTCTGACAGGATACCACCACTGCCACCAGTTGTTAGAACTGGGGGTTGACCAGGGTCCCACTTGCCCCGGGGACCCGGGAAGAAGACGCCGAGCATGAAGAAACTGTTGAGAAAAACTGTACATAGGTCTATTTTACATTATGTACAGGTGAGCGAGGTGAGCGTTTTGCCACATGACGAATATAGACGAAGATTTCATCATACATCGTGACGATCTCGTCAAAAGGTCTCTCAGGAGCCCACTGGTAGCCAGTTAGCAAGAGTCCTTTTACCTCTCATCCTTAAATGGGGAAATGGCTTAAACTTCTGTGTCCAACCACGGGACACACATCGATTTCGGCGGTGCCACCCACCCCCGCCTTGGTCAACGTCTTTGACTGCGGCGGAGCCACCACACTCCCCCTCCTGCGCCCAGTTGTCTCTTCCTTGGGGTGAGAATGCCACTCGGTGCTGGGTCCATGCTCCTACTACCAGCAATATGAAAAGAAACCTTTCTCGTCACGCTCACTTTGCGGGGCCGAGTGTAATTCATGCTGTCCCCACCATTTCTTCAATGAGGCTGTCTCGACCGAAACCATTTTGTTGTCTCGTTGTGGCTTCGTGACTGCATGAGCCTAGCTTGCCGGTTGGGAGGACAATACCCATATTTGGACGGCTGTCAGCAAACCCGCATCTTTTCGGTGGCTTGTTCGCAGGAGCGGGAACATTCCTCTCTACTCGGCTTAAGCACCGATCCTAACAGCTCGTCTGCAGGTGGAAGACCCGATCTGAAGGTGACCAGCTGCACAGGTCACCCGAAGCGTCGATGTCATGTGGCGTGTGGAGAATATTCCGAGGATTGATTGATATGTGGGGTTTAACGTCCCAAAGCCACCATATGATTATGAGAGACGCCAAAGTATTCTGACGCAATGGTACAGTGGTTGGGAGCGAAAACTTCTCGCTCCCTTCGTCACAAAAAAGTATGACAGATTAGAAGAAAATAAGTATAGAAATTTGGACTTCGAACAATTATCTAAAGCAGGCCATCTGCCTGACTGGCAGGTGTTCCACCGTGAATGCTGAACACTTCGAAAGCGATTTTCAGCAAGAAGAAATGGAAATATAGGTTAATATGTGTTGGGCACCAACCTAAATTGTTAGCTGTAAACGGCCATGTTAGTTATTGTGCAGGACGGATGGAAGAATGGTCAAAAGTAAATCACTAATTCTTGTATTTGTGCAATTTTTTCAGCCCGATGACCTTAGCAGAAAGTGCAAAATGTCCTGCTGCCATCAACTGGGGGTCCGGCGTACTTGTTATATTGTGACTGTTCTAACAGGAATGTCATGTGGCCGTGGAAAGGTTTGTATTCAACTCTGCCTACTGGGATACAGAGATTACGAAATGGCTTCTTGCATAAATCTATTTCAATAAAAAAAAAGCCTGATACTTTTGCATGCATCAGTGAAGACTGCACCTCTTTGGCCGCATATTTTTACCAGTACATAATTGTTATCAGACTGCTATAGGACATAATGCGACAAGAACAAAACTGTAAAATGGAGGACAAATATTGAATCAACTGGCATAGTCATGAATGCCTTGTAATTAAGCCGGCCACGAAATATTGTTCGGGGAAAGTCAGATGTGCGAGCAGCATATTAGTCGAGGGAGTAATGCCGCAGTCACTCACATGCGTTTGTCAACACTTATTATTTTCTGTGTTAATATCTCTGCACAGATAAAAACAAGAATTGGAAGCCGATCACACGTAATTAAGCAGTGAGAAATTAGCATCATGCGCTGAATTTTTCGGTTTAGGGGCAAGCGCAACAAGGTGTTTTTGTGTTTTGGTAATGGAGTAGTGTAAATATTGTTGGCTTCACCAACACGTAAGGTAATGCCATTTAAGAGTAGCCTTTAGTCTTTAGTGTACACGGTTCCCGCAGAAGTACGGCCACTAGAGTGGGTTCTGTCTTAGCGAGACGCTGGACCGCGTTCACCGTCGCCTCACGTGACTAACGCCACTGCACACGCGCTTTCGTACAGCCAAGGCGTCGAGCGCAGCGCGGCAAGTACACAGTACTGCTCACAAACAGTTCGCAACACTTCATTGCCTGCGGCACTCCGTAAACGTACTACGGCGCCCGCTGAAAAAGATGGTGGAGAAAGCAAAAGAGGCTTATCCACGCCACGGGCGGAAGTACAACACAAAAGGTGCCGCGAGCGCATCTCCGCGCGCAGTAGGGTCACGGCACCACGTCGCTAAAGGAAACGGCCGAGACTATACTGCGTTCTCTCACGATCATGAACGCACTGCTTTTCGGCCTCACGTTCAAAAGAGGCAACCTAAAGTAACCTTTATCAGCGGGCCCAAGGCGCCGTTGGCGAGTCCAAGCGGGCTCCGAGCACAAAGGAGCCGACGGACGGGTAAAGAAAAGGCGTACTCATCCTTCGCACTCCACAGAGATTCTCTCCTGCCTCCGCCAGGCACGTGCGCGAAAAGGTCACACCAACGTAGAGATCCGGTACGATTCGGTTTGGGGTGAGATAGGTTAACGTCACTACCGCTCTCCCAGCACCGAGATAACGCAGAGAAGGGGAGGGTCATGTTAGGACACATGGACGGCAGAAATAAAGGGGAAAGTCTGCGTAACGTTGACGGGCTAGCCCTAATCTCTAAATGTCTGATGCAAGGAGCCCTCACGTACTGACCTAAGCTTTGTCGAAGCAATGTACACGCTAAAGTGGCATTATACTTGTTGAGTCATAAGATTAGTACGTGAAATATTTATTGATTCTTATTAGGTAACCGCGTCCACAGGTGACGTCACCCCAACATAGCGCATCAATTATGCCGTTTACAAGTGCAGCTTCGAAACCTTGCCCTGATTCTGTGCTATGCCCTCAGAGCTTGGATTTTGTTTTTGGAAATAATTCGGCACTTCACGCGATCTCGACCCGATGGACTCACTTCAGGGGAGGCGACACCTTAGTGGGCCGTGTGATTCAAGATTTCAGAGCACGTTGCGAAACGCCAGGACATCAGACTTTCCTAAGCCATAGACTGTAGCGTGCCTTATACCTTTTGGTTCGGGTAATTAGAACTCAATGATTGTTAAGAATATTGTATTATTAAGCTTCAATATTTCAGCTGTACCAGCCGGGAAAAAACAGTATTTGATTATTAGGCAAAATAAATGCGAGAAAAACATAAAAAGCTACACTCCTATCAGCACTAATAATTACGGCGGATATCGCTAAACTCTTTTTATCTTTCAGTCAAATCCACCAGGATTAGCGCGCACAAAATTTTCTACGTTTAGCCGCTCGGTGCTTGCAATATCGTAGCGTATGGGCACCTTGCTGATGTTTTTTTTAAATTTTGATCAGATCAGCTAGGCACAAGACCGTAATAGTTGAATTGATCCTCAATATTGCACGAGCACCAACTATAAAACGCTGGAATGTGTGACACCATTTGCCTGACTTGCAGATCAGAATACTAAATATCTAAATATGTACCTCTGTTCTCACCGCTAGTCGCTCACCATAAGAAATAATTAAAATCATGAGCGCAATAAGCAGCGATATCTATTTGCTGGTTACGTTTAATTCACCAATTAACAGTGTGAATGATGAGCGTGAATGTTTTAAAAGCTTCGTTTGCAATAAATTCAATTTAAATGCAGGTATCATAGTGATATCAGCCAATTGTATTCTTATTTTGTCCTTTCAGACATGCAGAAGAGGGGTGTGCGGAAGGCACGACTATCCATGAATAGAAAGGAAAAACTGGAAATATTACATGACCATTCAAATGAACGCATCGACAAACTCTTAATACTTGGACAATAAACAATTTATTCACAATTACTTTACGCTGGAAAATGAAGCTTACACTCTGACAGTGCTTTATACGTTTTTGCATGCTGTTAAACACAAAATATTTCAAGAAGAAAATCGAAAGTGAAGATGTAAAATTGTAGTGCATTATCGTTCATATATTATTGCCTTCGATTGAAATGTGAAATTTGCACATTACAAATTTGCACATTGTCTCAAGTGGCAGTTTGCAACTTGAGACCCGCTTGCTTCAATAAACATTGCATTCTCTCAATAAAGTGGCTCCTTTGTAGTAAAGAAGCACAGTTTAAATGAACATGATGCTACTCCGTTCAGTAACTTGCATGACACCGTAACAAAAACATACCGCTCTTTTAGGTAACTTCGTGTGCGTGAAAACGCACTACAAATGGTACCACAACGGAGAAACATGATCCTATATAAATTTACACTAGAAGGCGTCCTGCAGTCTTTGCTCTAGAACTTCTTGCACAAAACTACCGCACACGAACCTGTCAATTCAGTGGTAATATTTGTAGCTATATATGTGTCTGATCAGTGTTAGGATGATCAGTGCAGGAAAAAGTGTCACGCATTTATAAGAAAAAAAAAGAAAGAAAAAAGTCACAAAATTCAATAACCACCAAACTGGATTATCGTACGAAGTAACGCTGGACTACACATACTTTTCAAAACGTTGCCGCTGCAGCGAGCTCAGTGACCCTCGTGTTGTCTGTTACATGAACGCGAATTATATTACCAGCAGGAAACATATGTGAATATGTGTTTCATGTACTCGTCGCTTGTACGACATACGGTGCTCATGATCGTGGACACCAGCTTGGCATTAAGGAAAGAAAAACGGAAAGAAGGAGCATGACGTCATGCAGCCAACAGTGGCTGCCAAACACGTGACCTTTTCAGCAAAATGACGCAAGCAACGAGAATTGCCGAGACTTCGGGGTATGGCAGCCGGTAGCTTTTGATCGAAAAGTTCTGGCTCGGCGCAGACCAGCCGGCTCACTCCGGAACGAATTCGCCACCGAGACTACCGAAACCTACCAAATGAACTTACGTCCTGATCACGTGTAAGACTGACACTGTGTGCTTCACTCGTGTGACGTAATGCTCCGTCCTTCATTTTTACTTCCTCCACGGTGCTTAGTCGGTCAAATTAGGCATTTACGGCCGGAGCGGTGCAGGCCGTCTTAGGACTCGTATGTTCCCACCCTTTTCGTGGGACCGAAGATGGGTAGCTCGTTTACTTTCCGCTTGAGCACCGATCGGTCGGCTAGCATCGCAAGCTTTCACTCGCACGTAAGAAAATACGACATGCAGGGCAATGTGATGGATACACAGTGAAATACCACTTGAACTGAATGTTCGCTACATAAACTACTAAATTAGGCCAACTTATTCTAAGTACCCCAACGAATAGCATACGACTCAATGCTAGCGCGTTTAACTTGAGTATACGAGTGCACAACTCATTACACTTCCAAGAACATATTTAGTGACACAACCCAATGCCCACTGTATCATACTGATCAATGGTTGACAGAAAACAGCCTACAGACCAGTGCTTTGCTTTTGGAGGACTATGCCTGGACCTGCGACTCAAGTTAAGACATGTGCCACCATGTCTATAGAGGAGACTGCAGGAAGTATCATATGGCAGAGTGAAAAAAAAAAACCACCATGCCTGCTTAAAGCACGCAGCCCAGTCACAGTGAAAGTTGGAACAGCATCCTTTTCAGAGCCCGTTGTAGACTATCTTTGATAAGTCACAAAAGAAGCTTTAGATGTTTCGTCGGAGGCTTGGTGACGCGACACCTGAAGTAAAACTTGAAGAATATAAAACCATAGCATTTTCGTTGCAAGAATGTACATGCCCTATATGAAAGCCATACACGCAAAATAGCATCACTAAATGTGAGTGTGTTCAAAATAGAGCCTTAAGATTTATTTTTGTATCCTACAGTAGAAAGCAGTCCGAAACAAGCTTAAAATCAATGGCTCATATCCTTACATTGCATGAAAGAATGAACATGAACAGCATGAAATTATTTTTCACATATCCCATGGTATTTGCAAAGCAGAGATAAACCTTTTCACTCTGATTCCATCCCATTCATGGACAAAGCGCAGTAAACTCATCAAACCTTGGAAGCACAACACCAAATCATTCAAAAATTGTTTCATCGTATCATCTGTTGGTACGTTGAATAAATTACGAAAGGACGTTGTACTGTGTAACTATGTGAATGATTTCAAAAGTGCCTTGTGGAAATAAATGCACGGGTGAAAATGTACTCGCTTGCTAGCCTATGTTTTGCTGACTTGGTTGCTATGTGCGCATTGAGTGTTGCATTTTTTTTCTTCCCTTTTCATTTTTCGCATTGTGTCACGTTGCTATGTTTTCTTCTCTTTTTAAATTACTTTTTTGATACTTCTATAATTGTGCCCAGTCGAGCAACTCTTGTTCTGGCATGTATGCTAGCTGTATAAATAAATAAATAAATAAATAAATAAATAAATAAATAGATACATAAATAAATAAATAAATAAACGAGAGTCTTGGAGCAACTAACACTACTGCACAGGCTAGGTACCCACAACGCCATAAACGACCGTAAATTTCAGGAAGTATGGGATCAGTAAACGACGGAATATGCGACTATTCGTTATTGTGCTGATTAGCAAGGTACCCTATACAAGGCTTTATGAACGAGCACTACAAATGGTGCCACAAAGAAAAACCATGAAGCAACCTAAGTAAATTAACCCTAGAAGTCAGTGTCCTGCAGTGCTGTAGGACACTATCCGCTGCAGACCGCAAACGCAACAGAATAAAGAAATAATATCTGTTGATACGGTTAAACATTCAAAAACCACGACTTTATGCATAAGGGACTGCCTAGATGAGGTCTTAGGAACCCATGAACCCCTTGAGTTCTTTAACGTGAACGTGACTCAAAAAGCAAGGGCCTCTGGAATTTTCTTCGTCATCGAAACAGCACCTGTCACAGCCAGAACTCAATTTGTGGAACATTGGGTACAGCAGTCGAGCTCTATAACCACTCGATCAGCATCTATGGCTGGTTAGATCAAAGAGATTGCGAAGAAAAAGAAAACGGAACAAGGCGAAGATTGTTTACCTGAGAGTGATAATATTTTTTTCAATTTACTCGTGTTCTTTCCCGTCAGCCTACAAGCTTGCACACAGTGCCACATGCGGCTGTCTCGTATAAGTTGGAAGAGCCTAGCAGCAAAACTATGCGCACAGGGGAGCTTACTGCAAATGCTTTTGCTGATATCGCTGCTTCGCATTCCTACAAGGCACTGACTGTTTTGCCAGATGACGCTTGCGAAAATTATTCAGCCATAGAATGACTGTCAACTGCTTTTATTAGGACAAAAATTGGGGATCAGCTTGGGTGCTTTCAGAAAGCTATATTACGAGATCACGAATAAAATTTTTGAAGAGCAGCCCGTGGACACGTGGAGATTTGTTGCGATTGCGAATGTCGGCAAGGTTTCGTGCAATGGACGGTTGATGGAAGATTGTTCGCGTGTATGACGTCTGCCCTATCGTTTGAAAAAATGAATGCGCTCTTACTATGAGGGAAAAACCTTTTGCACTGCCTTTGGATCTTCCCTGTGTTAGGTACAGTGCAGCCGATCGATCTTGCTAGAAAAAAGAACTTAAAAAATGGTCGTCAACCTGCTTTTTTTCTTTTCTTTTAATCATTCTTTTTGGTTTTCGAGGCTGTGACTGACGGTGGTCGTGTATAACTGACATTGCTAGCGCCGGTACAAGAACACATCATACCATGCTCCCTTTCTCCCGGAAACAAAACAAACTTGGCCACGTCCCAAAAGAACACAACACAGCAGACTATCATCCCCACCGTACATATACCACACCACGCTGTTGTATGTTGTATAAAGCACTGACCATTTTCGACTGCTGACATGTCATACAATAACACTTTATGTTACCTCAGGTGAGATCAAACTTTTTGAAATGTCATGCTACCTCTACAAACAAAACTTTTCAGCCACTTCATGACAGCATGTTTTTTTTTCTCCAAATCAGTTCCTGATTCGGTTTTACTGTATGCAGAATAATATCTTGGTTCGATTCTTTCTCGAAACCTCCCAGTTGAAAAATGCGGTAGTGTTCATTGTGTTCTGTGTTTCACATCATAACGTACTGTGGTGTTCGGTTGGGTACACTAACCTGGTGTGTAGTGTTCTGGGGGCATACAACAGCATGGTGTAGTATGTATGATGGGGGTGATAGTCTGCTGTGTTGTATTCTGTTGGGACGCGGCCAAGTTTGTTGTGTTCCGGGAGAAAGTGAGCATGGTATGATGTGTTCTTGTACCGGCGCTAGCAATCTCAGTTTTGTACCTGGGATGACGTGGTGGGGAGACTGGTGGAAATGTCAACTATTCTCGATCTGAATTGTTCATTGCACTTTCTTGTCCAAAGTCTTGCGTTTACTATTCTGTGTGTGCAATCGCCACTTTGGCATGTAAACATTATCACAGTAAACTAAATTGTACTTACTGCAGTATGATATCAAATTTCCTTGACCTATGCTATCTCAGTAGCAATAAACCAAAATTATTTAATGTTAACAAACAACAAATGAATCAGAGCCCTTGATATCTATGCAAATAGGGGAACTTATGTTTCATATAAACTAGATGTGCAAGAGGAGAATAACACTGATTGTGTCATTGTTTCTGTAGTACAAACGAAAGGTGAATTACTGGTGTCCAATACGCTACCAGATCCCTTTACTGGCACACAGCTCAAGTCTCTGGAATGTATGTGCAGTGCAGAAGAGAGGCTCTCGCAGTACATTGTTTATCAATATTAATCGAACTTATTTTATTGATATTTGGGGTTTCGCGTCCTAAAACCACCATATTATTATTAGAGGTGCCTTAAAGTGAAGGACGCCGGAAATTTCGACCACCTGGGATTCTTTAACGTGCACCTGAATCGGAGCACAACGAGCCTACAGCATTTTCGCCTCCATCGTGATAATCTA